ATATATATTAAAGAACTATAAGAAAAAATATTCAAGTAAGGGTATATTTGAGAAAACCTATTTAAGGGTTATATTTGTAATATGTATATTTTAAAGGATTGAAATGAAAAGTTAAGAAAGAAAGTAAAAAAAAAAATCAAATAAAATGTAATTTGAAATAATTATTTCAGTGTGGGAAAAAAATATTTTAAGGGTTATATTTACTAAATGTATATTTTAGAGAATTGAAATGAAACGTTAGGACAGAAAGTAAAGGAAAAAAAAAAAAAAAAGAAGATGAAATTGGACAAAACAGAAGAATCAAAAGTTTGAATAGTGTTTTTGTGAGAGGGGTTATAGTAAAATGCATTTCCATTTCTTATGTAGTTATAGTTTTTTTTTTTTTGTTCAACCCTGACTGAAGCAATGTTGTTGAGAGTGAGGAAGATCACAAATTTGTTAACGCGCCCCTTGGCCTTCTCATTTTGAGCAATTTGTTCGTTCATCTTAACTGTTGCAACATGTTCTGTTATGATGATGATGATTATATTGTGTTGGTGACAAAAAAAACACGTTTGATAAAAAATTCTAACACTCTAATTCAAACCGTGACCGTAAAGATGATCTTATCGATGATTGGAAAAGTCCCTTAATCAATGACTTAAATATTATTAATTTCTCAACTCTCAATACCCCAAACCAACAAAATATCAGTGCAAAATTAAATTGCCAAAATTAGAAGGCTATGAGACATGGACAAGTTGTTAAAACCCTGATACCATATAATCTTCTCATAGCAAGCCAAAAAAAAAAAAAAAAAAAAAGTTTACAATCATTTTTTGGGGTGCCCCTTTCCCGCCACTGGCGAAGAAGCAGAAACGATGGAGTTGAGTCTGAGCGGGAATGCCCTCAAGACCTTCGCACGCTCCGTCACGTGCCTCGCGCGTGTCGGCAACGAGCTCGCCATTCAAGCTTCTCCTTCTCAGGTTTTTCCCATACCCGTATTCTTCTTCTTCTTCTTCTTCGTTACTCCGCACTTCAAAAGTTCCTGTAAATTCATCTTTTCTTTTTCTAGTACCAAATCGTCTTCTTTTTTTGCTTAAGCAGCACGTCTCTATGGAACTCTTTCTGGTTGAATTATAATGTAAATTCAATTTTTTCCATCTATTGAATTATTTAATTTGGTATAATCTGAGTTTTGTAGTAATCGCGGTTTGAAAAACCATATGAAAGTGAAGAGTTAGGGTTTTGCTTGTACGACGTTCGATTTTAGGGATAGAATAATTGGGACATTCAAATTTAATTTCCTTTTTTTTTTTCAACAAAGGTAATTGAGGTTATTCAGATTCAAACAACATTTTCACTCCTTTTGTTTGTACTACATTATTTAACCCTATGTTCTTTCATGGATTTCTTGTTCATTTTCCCCTCCTTTTGTTGCAGCTTGCTCTTCACACTCTCAATTCGTCGCGATCAGCGTTTCAGTCGATTACATTTAAATCCGGGTTCTTTGATGTCTATACTATTACTGGTAACCAAGTGGAATGCAGTGTGCTTTTGAAGGTAATTTAAACCTTTTTTTTTCTTAATCATACTATACAATTTAATGGTTATGGGACTGAATGATTGGGCCTACTGATTCTGTTCTTTCAGGCTGTTTGTTCAGTACTCAGGACGCCTATAGCGAGCGTGGATAATTTGAGAATCAAATTGCCCTATCCCGATGCATCAAAAATGCAGTGGACATTGGAGTGCTTCAATGGTATATCACCATATGCAATATTTTTTTGTTGCTCATTTCCGGTTAAATTGTATTGATACGGAAGATGAAAGTTCTAAAAATGGATGTAAAAAGCTAGTAATAATTGTTTGTGTTTGCTAGTGATTATTGCTGTTCTAGATGCCGCATTCTAGTGTATTTATTTATTCATGAGAGTTAGTATGTAATAAAAACAAAAAAGATTAATGGATTAAGGAAAAGGAAAATTTACCATGCTTCAAATGATGATATTTCTCACACATATTTTCAACAATATGTGTGTGTGTAAATTTCTCACACATTGTAATATAAAAATCCGACATAGTAGCATGTTTAGCTACTAATATCTTATACTTTTTGTCATGAAAAAAATTGTCATTTTTACTGTTGGCATCGGGGTTTCAAACTTCATACTATTTACTGTGCAGGAATGAGAAAGGCTTATTGGATTACTTGCAATGTTGAACCAAACATACAGCATTTGTCTCTTGACAGGAGAAGATTCCCAAGTAATTTTCTAGTGAGGCCTCGAGATCTCAACAGATTGCTTGCTAATTTTCAGTCGTCCCTTCAAGAGATCACCATCATAGCAACAGAACCAAATTCCTTGCCTTCTGATGTAGCAAGTGAAATTGGAGGGAAAGCTGTTGAGCTTAGGAGTTATATAGACCCAACAAAAGGTATAATGAATGTTTTTTATTCGTGAGTTTACTTGATCAGCATGTTTACTCTTCAATTTTTGACTGCAGACAATGACTTGTCACTACACACTCAACTATGGATAGATCCCATGGAAGAGTTTCTTCAATACACTCACACTGGAGACCCTGTAGACGTCACATTTGGTGTGAAGGAATTGAAGGTGTTGTAACGCAAGCCCTGAAACCTCATTTCTGTTACATTGTTGTGAATGAATTACTTGGAAAAGCCTTATCCCAACTGATAGGAAATTTTACTTAAACACCTTCATCAATTAGCTGTCATAATCAACTCTTAGTTTCTTGAATCAATACCATCTAGAAAGTTTATGGAATATCTTTGCCAATTGGATTTGTCATTCTATGCTCTAAACTTTCCTAATTGATTTTTATGTTTCAGGCGTTTCTTTCTTTCTGTGAAGGCTGTGAAGTTGACATTCACTTATATTTTGAGAAAGCTGGCGAGTAAGATAAATCTTCTATTTATCCATGTAATTTTCCTTTCCTTTTCATGTTTTTACTTGTTAGAACCCCGGTTGATTCCCGGTATTTTCTTTATTGATTTTCTTAGTGCCGGAAGTAAATGACAGAAATTATAGATAAGAGGAATTCGAGGTTCCTTAGCCTCCCTAGATCCAGACTACAATGGCAACTAATTTCCTACCTATTCCCTTGCTTACCCCCTTATTAATAGTCCCCCTCCCTCGATAAGTGAAATAAAACTAACTCGTAGCTAACTCCTTTCCCCTAGACCCTTACATTACCTCATAACAGAATTGCAACAGATTTGCCATGTCAGCACAACTTCTCAAATTAACACAGCTTCCCCTTAGGAAGTGGTATTATCCAACTTGCTCCTCCTGGAGTAAACAAACTTGATAGGAGGGATTCTAACATTACTTGTCCACATTGATTTAACTCATCTAATGTACAACCTTGTCCCCAAGGTTGAAGTGGGGAAATTGAGACTGGATGATGAAAACTGGTTCCCATGTGGCATCCGAACTGGGAAGACCTTCCTAGTGAACCAAGACCTCTGGAACCTGTTTTCCTCCCACATGACGAACACGAAAATCCAACACTGCCAGCGGCTGCACCATTAGTTCGAGCTCGTCTGATAAACCAGGAGGAAGGGGCTGACCCGTGAACTCCTCCCCCTTAAAAGGCTTAAGTTGCGAAACGTGGAACACAGGATGGATCTTCGCCGTTGGAGGCAGCTTGAGCCGATATGCAACGGAGCCAATCCTTTCCAGGACTTCGAAAGGGCCATAAAAGCGCGGGCTTAACTTCTCGTTGGTTCTGCGGCCTAATGACTTCATAAAGTAGGGGCGTAGACGTAACAACACCAAGTCACCTGCAGTGAAGGAGATGTCCCGCTGATGAGCATCCGCAAATTTCTTCACGTGTTGCTGGGCGACTGTGAGATGCTCCTTCAAAAGTTCCAGCATTCAATCACGAGTCTGCAACTGCTCTTCCACCTCCTGTACGACTGTCGTGCCATCTTGGAAACGGTGTAAGGTAGGAGGGGGCCGCCCATGAACCACCAGGAAGGGAGTGCATTTCGTAGAGGCATTGTAATTGGTATTGAACCAATATTCTGCCCAAGGCAGGAATGTCTGCCATTGGCGTGGTTTGTCATTCGCAAAACACCGTAAGTACGTCTCTAGGCAACGGTTGGCTACTTCTGATTGGCCATCCGATTAGGGGTGATAGGCCGAACTGGTGTGCAATTTTGTTCCCTGTAGCTTGAATAGCTCCTTCCAAAACAAGCTCATAAAAAGAGGATCACGAGCACTAACTATAATTTTAGGCAAGCCATGCAGGCGGATGATCTCCCTAACAAAGAGTTTGGCCACTTGTTTCGCATTGTAAGGATGGCCAAGAGGGCAGAAATGGGCATACTTCGAGAGCCGATCGACTACCACCAAAATAGTATCAAAGCCCTGAGACTTCGGCAATCCACCAATAAAATCCATAGAAACGTCTTCCCAAATGTGCTGAGGTATGGGCAAGGGTGTCAGTAACCCGCTGGAGAGAGGGCGTCAGTCTTGCACCGCTGGCAAGTTTCACATCGTGCGACATAATCCCGAATCATCTTCTTCATTCCCTTCCAGAAAACTACCGCCGATATGCGCTTATAAGTACGCAGGAACCCGGAGTGCCCTCCGATAACCGAGTCATGGAACTCGTGTAACATTCTTGGTACCTATGGTGAAGAAATTGGGATGACTATCCGTCCCTTGAACAGCAAGAGACCGTTGCTATAGCTAAAAGCAGGGGCTGTCACGTCTCCCCCTTGAATCCTGGCCAACGCCTGCACACAGAAGGGGTCTTAGGATTGCTCACGACGTAGGGCGTCGAAGTCGAGCTGCTGGGGAATAGAAATCGCCATAAGACTAGCCAGGGAGATATCGTCCCTTCGAGACAGCGCATTAGCCACGCGGTTGGCTGCTCCGGGCTTGTATTGAACTTCAAAATCATACCCGAATAATTTGGACACTAAACGCAGCTGTTCGGGTGCCAACACGCGTTGATCCATCAGGTGACGAAGACTTTGCTGATCATAACGAATGATGAAGTGGCGGCCCAACAAGTAGTGCCGCCATTTCTGGACAGCGAGTACAATTGCCAGCAACTCCCGTTCATAAACTGACTTCCAGCGAGCCGAGGGAGCAAGTCCCTTGCTAAAATAGGCAATTGGCTATCCCTCCTGCATGAGAACCGCTCCAACGCCAGTCCCTGAAGCATCAGCTTCTAATACGAAGGCTTTGGTGAAGTCAGGCATGGCCAGAACTGGCATACTGACCATCCTAAGCTTCAATTGCTGAAAAGCCTCCTCGGCCTGTGGAGTCCATTGATAGGCTCCTTTTTTGAGCAAGTCAGTAAGTGGTTTGGCTATCATTCCATATCCCTCGACAAACCGGCGGTAATAACCGGTTAGTCCCAGGAATCCCCCCTGAGTTCTCAGGGTGACCGAGGAGTTGGCCATGACGATATTGCCTGTACCTTAGCAGAATCCGCTGCAACCCCGGCACTAGAGATAATGTGCCTGAGGTAGTCAATCTGGGAACGACCAAAAGAACATTTTTTTGAATTGGCATAGAGTTGCTCCCGAACCAAAACCTGCAGAACCATCGCCAAATGCATGTTGTGCTCCTCCCATGTTCTACTGTAAACCAAGATATCATCAAAGAAAACTAAAACAAATTTTCTTAAGTAGGGTCGGAATACCGTGTTCTTCAAAGATTGGAAGGTGGCGGGGGCGTTGGTGAGACCAAAGGGCATCACGAGAAACTCGTAATGCCCTTCGTGGGTCCGGAAGGCTGTTTTCTCCACATCTTCCTCGCGAACTCTGATCTGGTGGTAGCCAGAGTGAAGGTCCAGCTTCGAGAAAACACTAGCCCCATGCAACTCGTCTAGCAATTCGTCGATCATCGGAATTGGAAATCGGTCCGGAATCGTAATCTGATTTAAAGCCCGGTAATCAACGCAAAAACGCCAACTACCGTCCTTCTTGACTAGCAAAACGGGGCTTGAGAAGGGGCTGGTGCTGGGTCTAATTATGCCGGAAGCAAGCATTTTTCCCACTAGCTTCTCTATTTCCTCCTTTTAGATGTGGGGATACCGGTACGGCCTTTTGTTGGGAGGAACAGCTCCCTGTTGCAGGACGATGTGGTGATCTCTAGCTCGTCGTGGAGGTCCCCTGGTACTGCAAATACCTCCTGAAAGCGCCGCAAAACCCCCCTGTGGTATCGTGTCTTCCTGCGAGTTGGTAACTTCGTGGGTTGCCAGGCTGATTTCCAACAGTATACCTATTTGCTCTGAGTGCAAGGAGCGGCAAATGGAACGAAAGCTTACTCTGGAACAGCAAAGTGTGGGGTCCCCCTGCAGACACACCCAACGGCCATCGACCAGAAATTTAAGAGTAAATTGTCCCCAATCAGCCCGTACCTTCGCCAAGGTCTTGAGCCAGGTTACCCCGAGAACTAAATCCATGTTTCCCAAGTCGAAGGAAAAGAAATCCTCTTTCACTCGTTGCCCTTGAATCATTACAGTTACGTTGCGACACACCCCCTTCTATTGGAATGTCAGTCCATTTCCAACCTGGATTTTGTGGCCCACTGATAGATCCAACGGAATTCCCAATTCCTAAACGAGAGGTGAGGCAATGAAACTGTGTGACGCACCGCTGTCGATGAGAAGGACTACCTCCCGTCCATCGATTAAGCCCTTCACCTTCAAGGTCTTGGCCGACGAGCACCCATTGAAGGAATTAAAGGATAGGGCAGCGATTTCAGCCACTGTTTGGTCCCCGGTTTCATGCTCCCCCAAGCCCTTCCCGAAATCCTCCTCGCACTCCCAATCCGACTCCTCGTCAGTGAGCATCAACACCTGCAACGTTCGGCTCTTACACCGGTGACCAAGGCCAAATTTTTCATCGCACTGAAAACATAACCCTCTCGCCTTCTGTTGTTGCAGCTCTTCAAAGGACATGCGCCGGAACCCCGAGTCCCCGCCGGCATGGATTTTCCCTGTCGGTGTTGCGTTGCCTCGGGAGGACGTGTTTGCCTCACGGTTCATTTGGGATTGAAGGGAGCTTTCTTTCTGCTCGACAGCTAGGTTGGAATTGTAAGGAATTGGGCTGAACCGACCCATAAATTCTCCCTTGGAGCCCCGCTCAAACCGGAATTTCCTGACCCGGCCTACAGCATCCAGTCGGTCCTCCATCTGTCGGGCCAGATCCATAGCTTCTAGTAAGTTACTGGGCCTGTGCATCCTCACCTCTGCCCTTATATCCTCCCGAAGCCCATTTAGGAAGGCCCCCTTGAAGATGGGCTAAGGCACCCCTCTCATAGACGCCGCCAGGGACTCAAAAGCATCCCGGTAATCAGCCACTCCTCCGGTTTGTTTGAGCGACATCCCCCTCACGCGCACGGCTAAATCGCTGAATCACGGCCGTCCGGAGATTCCGCCAACTGGTGAAAGGGTCTTGAGTGTCAACCCACTGGAACCATCCCAAAGCTCTGCCCTCCATACAAACCGACGCGGCCAAGATCCGTTCCTCATCTTCGATCTCATTCACGGCGAAATATCGCTCGGCCCGGAACACCCAACCATAAGGATCTTCCCCCTGAAAAATTGGTAGCTCCAATTTCTTCCCGCGAAAATCTCCACCCATCCGCTGCCGGACCGGTGACGGACGGCGTCGTCCTTCCTCTCTCTCCCCCCTTTGAACCGGTGGTTCTTCTCGATAACCCACCCGGCCTCGTTCCGGTTCGCTTCTTGGTGGGGTTCGCGCGTGGTTTCTAGCTGGCTCTCTTTCCGGTTGTCCTCTGTCGAAGATCCTCGCTTGTCTCTGCCGCAACTCTTCTATCCTCTGCATCGCCCCTTGTAGCTCACCCACTCGATTATCCAGCCACTGGTGACGGACGGCGTCGTCCTTCCTCTCTCTCCCCCCTTTGAACCGGTGGTTCTTCTCGATAACCCACCCAGCCTCGTTCCGGTTCGCTTCTTGGTGGGGTTCGCGCGTGGTTTCTGGCTGGCTCTCTTTCCGGTTGTCCTCTGTCGAAGATCCTCGCTTGTCTCTGCCGCAACTCTTCTATCCTCTGCATCGCCCCTTGTAGCTCACCCACTCGATTATCCAGCCTATCCACGTTCTCCTGTAGCTGTGGAACATGATCAACCATAGCTCCCATTATCAGCACTCTCATGGACATTTTCCATCCGGAGTTCCAGGGTTGCGATGCGGTCGGGAATGCGCGGCTCAGGTAGAACATTGGCCATAGGATCGGTGGCTCTGATACAAAGCTGTTAGAACCCCGGTTGATTCCTGGTATTTTCTTTATTGATTTTCTTAGTGCCGGAAGTAAATGACAGAAATTACAGATAAGAGGAATTCGAGGTTCCTCTGCCTCTCTAGATCCAGACTACAATGGCAACTAATTTCCTACCTATTCACTTGCTTACCCCCTTATTAATAGTCCCCCTCCCTCGATAAGTGAAATACAACTAACTCGTAGCTAACTGCTTTCCCCTAGACCCTTACATGACCTCATAACAGAATTGCAACAGATTTGCCATGTCAGCTCAACTTCTTAAATTAACACAGCTTCCCCTTAGGAAGTGGTATTATCCAACTTGCTCCTCCTGGAGTAAACAAACTTGATAGGAGGGATTCTAACATTACTTGTCCACATTGATTTAACTCATCTAATTCATCTTCGGGTGATATGAGATTTTCAAATCAAATGTGACCTATCCATCTATGTGGGCCTTTCATGGTCCATTTTGTTGAAAAATAATAGGATTCAGCATAAGCCAGTCGCGAGAAAAACATATAAGTAGGGTGGGAACTTGAGAGGCGTGAGAACCCAGACACATATTTACGTATAGCATGTGATCCAGAAATATTCAGGCATTATAAAAATGGTAAGCCTCCCTTGTGTTTTACTTATGCGAGGAGGAGGATTGGTAGGAAGTTTGCTGCAGGTCCTGGGGAAACAAGCAAGACAGCAGGGCAGGGCAATATTGAGGGTCCAGGAGAAGGCAGTGGGACTGCATCGTTGGGGATTGGTACCTTGGGTTGTTAGGCGGTTAGTTGAGCTGGCAAAATGGTGAGAGAGGATTGGAGGGAATTGTTGAGTGCTTGGGGATCCAGGAATTTGGAGGGAGACTTTCTTTGTTAAGAAGTTTGTTAGGAATTAGCAATAAAAAGGGGGAAGAGAGTAAGCGTAGGGATTATTTTGTCGATGAACTTCTCAAAAATTGTATCTGGACTAGATCTAGAATTGGAGTGCCACAGGTCTCTCGAAAACCTGCCTATCTTTGTTAATTTTCATATTATTCAGTCAATAGAAAATCCTTGATCGATCAATTATCTGCTGCAAAATACCTTTAATGCTTGTTTTAGCCACTGAAACACCTCAAAAAAATCACATAGTAGAGCAATAAGTTAAAAAAAGAAAAGAGTTCATGTCTCTTTGCGCTAGCTGTTATGGTCAAGTTACATTTGTTTTTTGTGATTCTTTCTATTATCACACTGATTGACTGGAAATGCTGTGATATTTTTATGGTAAGCCAAATGTCTATGTAGGGAAACAGATATGGTGTTTTTGGTTTATGACATGAGGGTAAGTAATAATCCTTCTGACGACTCGTCTATAGGCATATTGTTGATGTATGATTAGTTGAGGTGGTGGTTCATATTTCTATTGGTTGTTTAATTTCTGAATCCAACGCAATAGAAACAGCCATTTGAAAGTTTCAGTCCTTAGGATTTAATTAGTTGATTTGGCAATCAAGAAAAATTTACTTTCTATCAAATGTTATAAGTTGTCGTGCTTGCATTTTAGAGTCAATTATCAAGTTAAAATAAATTATTAATGTGAATTGATCTTTGAAACTTTTGAATTGGAAAATTAGGCCTATACTTATGGCACCAAAATTTGGCCTCGATGATGGTTCCAGTTCAAACTTTGATGCTACACTTGTACTTGCAACCATGCTAGTGTCACAGCTCCATGACCATCCCTCAGAGCCTGCACAAGCTGCTGCTACAACGCCTGCACAGACTGAGAAAAGGGCAGGGTCTCAAGCACAAGTCAGGTCTGGAGCAAATATTTCACAGCATCCATCTGATCACACCAAAATTTGGTCCGATCTTTCGGGTAACCGTTTTTTCTTAATGTTCTGATAGGAACAGTATGTTGTTCTTCAATTGGTTCAAATTCTTTTCTTTATGCAGGAAGTGCCAACAGAAATGGAAATGGCACTGAACGTAGACAGTTCCAAGAAGAAAGAAATTTAGATGCTAGTGGACAGAGAGAAATTACAAGGCTTAGTGCAATGCATATCTCAAAAGCTGCACCAGATAGAGAAAATGAACCCATCATTTCTGATACGTATCCTAAGTCTTACTGTTTGCTTCAATATTCGTTTAATTTCTGTTGTTTAGATGATATTGCTGCATGTATCTAAGTCCCAAACTGACTAATTGCTTTAATATCTATGAACTATTATTAATGATATGCAACTTTTTATAGTTTATCTTTGTAGAGTATACATGATCTTGTGCCCAGCACTTTCACAAAGTAACTGGATTCTTTGCTCCTGATACCCAGCACCCTGGACTGACATTGTAAACGTGTTTTCAACATTCTAATTGATATACCTGTAAAATGAGTATCAGCTGAATTTTTCGATGCATTTCATTATAAGAATCTGTACTTATCGATATGACATAAACTAATCCTAACTCCTAAAATTACCGTTAGGCTGATCAGGACAACTTTCTCACATGATTAATGACATTGTTCATTGGTTTTAATTGTATTTTCTTGACTGTCTATACTAGCTTCCACATGGAAAAAGGCCTTGCAGAAGAACCTCAAGGTCAGTAAGAGTAGGGGTGTCAATTCGTGTCACGTGTCGTGTTTTGATCGTTTCTTTTTAAATTTGCAGTCAACCCGAACACGATCCGTGACACGAAATTTTTTAAAAATCGCAACACGAACACGACACGACCACTTTGCGGGTTGACATGACACAACACGAAAATGACCCGTGACACGAAATTGACCCGTGAACCTGAAATTACACGAAAATTGTATACTTTTATTTAGTTTTGAACATATTATAAATAACTTAAAATTCATAACACACTAAAATACAATAACATCCATTGAAATTAAGCAAATAATAGTATAAGATTTTGAGCATAACTATCATGATATCACAAGTTCATAATAAAATTAAAAATATGTAGTGAAAAATATATGTATTTTTTAGTTTTTTATGAGTTTCGTGTCGTGTTCGGGTTAGGTGGGTCCAACCCGAAATTGACCCGTATTTTTCGTGTCAATTTCAGGTTGATCCAATTCTGACCTGAACATCTTTTTTTCTCAACCCTAACTTGTGAAAATCGTGTGTTTTTTTTGTCGTGTTGTGATCCATATTGCCGGCCCTAAGTAAGAGTACACGTTGGATTAACCTTGCACTAATATTGCCTAAAAAAAAAAAGAAACTTGCTCTAGTATTCTTCTGCAATAGCTAAATTGTGGCAGTTTGGTGCTTTCAGATCGGTCAGAATTAAATGTTCAAGATATTTCACAACGCCATCGCAGTAATTGGGTTGATGCCAATGAAGATGATGAGGATGATGATGGTGATGAGAATGGACTTTATGTTCAGTCGACACCAACATATAATGAAGAACATTAGAGCTTCAAGTTCAATGTTGTTATTGTTAGCTGATCTAATTTTGTTCTCCCGCTCTCTTGTAAGTTCATCTAACTGCTCTTCTAATGCGCTTCATGTTTTTAGGTTCTTTTCTTCCATTTGTAATTCCGGCTGTTTTTCTCTGCTCTTTTATCAAGCAACAATTGCAATGTACCCTCATTTAGAAACTAGCGTGATTGTATCCTGCCCATGAATGATTCCTCAATCATACAATATTGGAGCTGTATCAGGCGAATGCACACAATCTTTGATATGGTACATTATACTAGTAGCTTTTTCGAGCATAAATTATAGAAAGGTGGATATCACTTAAGCAAACAGAATTTCTGCATATAGTTTTTTCTACAGTTGAAGCAGTACTTGTCAATTTCAGTGAGAAGCAATATGAAACTGCTACAGCAGATTGGGTTTTCATGGACATGAATTGTTCAATTCCAATTAGATGGTGAATTCCATATAGTTAAGATTTTAAGTGTTGCCAAACTCTTCAATTTCTGCGCAACGAGAACATTGCTTTTTCAGACTTGTTACCATATAATCCAGATCCGAAAATGGGGGAAAAAAAATGACACCCTTATACAAAATTGTTCCCTCCAATATTAATATTGGACTTGAAACGCTTTTCTGTGTTATTTAAGTTGGTGCTGCTCTTCAATCTATCTCTTTTGTCATCAGTCCAGATATGGATATATAGAATGTCCTACCACAACCGGCTTTTAAAAGTCAAGTCTTGTACCCTATTAGCTGAAAAACTTGGACTGTGATGCTTCAAAATCCTTAAGCAGTTACAGGGTCCTTTTATTATTTTCTTATAAATTTTAAAGTTGAATCCTTCTGTAACTCTTTTGTAGGGAGTTTATTTGTTTGTTTGTTATTTGTTTATTATTATTCTTATTCTTATTATTATTTTGGTAGCAAAGCATTCAATTTGATTCCGTCACTCTTCTGTTGAGAAGTTGTGCGTTACTTGATATGGTTTTTCAAATCAAACACAGGTGATGATGCTAAGCTTTTTGTTTGAGAGTGAAACTGCTGAAAAGGCCTTTTGCATTTGGACGTGTAGAAGGAAGTGAAAATATAGCAGAACTGGTAACAAGTTGACCATAAATTGAGTGTCTGTGTATAGCAAAAGACATTCATACATGCATGGATATCGTATCATATTCTTTGTTGCCTTGGGTAAATAATGAGCTATATGACCAGTATTCTATATCAGTTAACTGTACCTTTTTACAGATTACTACCTTAGATGGGTACCTATTATGATAAGTCACTCTTCAGTTTGTTGATTCTGAAATATATGAAATCTGCTGATGGGACCCATTAACCTCTAGTTGCCTTGGAAAATGAGGATTTTGTGTTCTCTCATTTATGATGTGTTTGCATGATCTCTGAACAAGGCTTACATTACAGGATGCCATTTGGTTACCTATATCAGCCACTGATACTATCTGTCTCTTGTTTATTTATTTATTTATTTTTGGTTGATTGGAAGAGTTCAACTGTTCAAGACTGACATTATATATATATATATATGTATATATGTATTTAAGCAGCAATTGGAGTTCGAGTTTCTTTTTCCTGAAACCCATTAATCAATTTTTTCCCTTTAAAAAAAACACTTTATTAATTGTTGGGTATGTTTTGTGAGTGGTCATATTCACAATGTCAAAAGATTAGGACAATGAAAATACAGTTTTATTTCCTGATTTGAATCATGATTCGTTGTTCGTTACAGTATTTTTTACGTAAATAAAAAATAATTTAAATCACATGATTTAAATTCTCTAATTAAACGTCTTCTTAATTGGGTTGTTTGGGAATATAGAAACCTGAAATGCCCATCCGAGAGAATGTCTTCACTGTTTTCCTTTTAAATTATGTGAACAAAAGTCGTGAAAATTGAAAGAGAAGATTCTTGAGGAAAGAGAAAGTTCTTCAATTATTATTATTTTTTTAGAAAATGAATTTTTAGTTGTTATAATAAAATAATTAATTTAAGGGCAAAGGTTGTTCAGAGCCAGCTGGATTGAAGAGGGTTAGTATTGGAAACACGTAAACACCGGCCTCTGACGGGCCCACCACCTGACTTGTAGAGCCAGAGCCTACGCTCTTTGCTAACGCCGTCTAATTTTTATCTTCCTAGCCGTTGTAACTTGTATTTTTTTATTTTCTTTTTTGAAATTAAATATTCCAGCCCAAAAAATACAAAATAAAAAAAGCTGAAATACCCGTGTCCGTGTGGACCGGACATAACCAATAATACCATTTTGACCTTCTCGAAATCGTTTCCATTGCATGTAAATTTGGTACCTCGAAAATAAACCACTCAAACTCTGTTTTTTTCGCTGATTGAGTTTAGAATTTAAATTTTATTACAGTAAAAAAATTTTAAAAATAGTCACATTTAATAAATTAGATAAAATATACTCCAACGAGTTGGACTATATGGATTAATCACCGAAAAATTCACTTTTTTAAAGAATAGTTGAAAGATGAGCCGTTTAAAAATTATTCACCTTATTAGTTATTATTTGTTCCGCGGATTTAAATTATAATTCAATTTTTTTTTGTTGTAACATTTTGTTTCACAAAAAATTTTAATTTCCATTTCTTTTCTGTAAGTTTAACTTTCTTGACATTTGTAAATAATAGCATGACAAACTTATTTGAGAAATTCATTAAAAAAAACTTATTTGAGAAGTAAATTATGTAAAATCTAAAACTAGGACAAGAAGAGTGTCATTAACAGAAATTGTATTGATATTAAAGATGTTAATACTATATGATGTTCAATGGAAGCCAAAAACTTTTATGAGGGGGTTAAAACTACATCAAAAATTTAAGAGGACATAAGATTGTATTTTAAAACTATTCTTATATATACATAGTTATAGGTAAAAAAAAAAAAAAAAAAAAAAAAAAAAAAAGAAAAAAAGGAAAGGGAAAAAAAAAAAAAACGTTAGTTTCTTGCTATCTAGTTTCTACTTTCTACCTTATAATAAAATAAGTTGCCTAGATTCTTTTTTTTTTTTTTTTTTTTTTCCTTTTGAGTAGAGCCTAGATTCATTGTAAATACAAGAAAGTAAGATTTTTTTTAAAAAAAAATTTATGAATAAAATAAAACGTTATTTAATAAAACAAACCTCTTTTTCTATTTGCATTCTTTGTATTTGAAATTTTATTCGTTTTTTGTGTAGTTTTTTTAAGAATTTTAAGGAAAAAAACAAGTTATTATTGGCTTAACGACTTTTTTAAATATTTAGTTAAGCACTATGAGTAGGTGCCACCGCTTATAATAGACGTAATGCAAAAGACTTTTCAAAAGCGTCTTATATTCCCCTATAGAAATCAAAAGTTGGCATAGATATAACTGGTAGTGTTTTGTTTCTGAATAAACGCCAACGCATCCGAGTTAGGAAAAAGTATAACCAATTGAGACAACAAATGGGAGAATTAATAATAAAAAAAAAAAGTTTTAAGATTAGCAAGCATGAACATGGACTAACCTCACAGCTCATCCTAAAGGCAAAAACAACGTTAATTTATTTTATCAATTTGAGTTTTCAATTTTAAAGTTTTATAATTAAAAATATTTAAAAAATATCATATTTAATTTTTTTTATTATAATTGTAAATTCTTAAAAAATATCATATTTTAACTCTAATGGAGGAGGCAACAAAACCTTGCATTACATTGAAAAGAAAAAAAAAAGAGTGGGGATGTGCAAATTAGTTAACGGTGACGGCAGCTGTTGAATAGAGTGGCTGTTTAGAGAATAGAGAATTGGAAAACGTGTTTTGGTTAACAGATTCTTGGATGGACTTGGACAGAAGGCAGGGAATAGGTGCTAACCCTAGATGCCGTCTTTCCTCTCTCTTCTCTCTCTTTCAATTTTGTGAATATTTGAGGAGAGAAGGAAGAGATAGATATACAGAAGCATCAACTACATGTGAAAATTTTTGTAGGTCCAATTGAGGATGTAGACAGGATTTTGTAGACTCCATAAGGTGATGTTTGGTTCATATATTTAGAATTATGATTCAGAATTATTCTCGTTTTATGTGTGTATTTTGTGAGAAAAAAATACTATAAATAATCATGAATCATGATTTCGAATCAGAAACGAATACAGAAAATAAACAGTCACATTATTTGAAAAGTTTCTTCGAGGGAACAAAAACGTGAACATTCTTGTCGATAGGTAGGGTTAACGGTAAGATCTTCACTAAACATTTTAATCAGCATTTGCAAATTCTATTTAGTAATTTTAAAGAAGTATGCTAATGCTGATTATTCTATTTCTGAAAGTTTTATTCAAAACAAAAAAAAAAGCTTTTAAAGGCCTCCTTATCTCTTTCATTTATTGAGAAATCAAATTAGTAATAACAACTTTCCTAAATATTTACATAAATTTGCAATTTAATACCAGCAACTTGGAGGATTAATAATAAGAAATGCCAAAGAAATTCAAACAAATAGTTAGAAAAAGGAAACATCTATTCTTTTTTTTCTAAAAAAAAAAAAGAAAGGAAACATCTATTCTAGAGGGACGAAAAGAAAAAAAAAACGAAGCAATAAGACGTTGTTCACCACTAATAACAATTGTATGACTTGGTAAAAAAGCCAAGCAAATAACCATAGCAAATCACATTTTGGTCAAATAATATTATTTTGTCTAGCTAGAGGCCAAACCATATCACTAATCGATCATCAACTATATAATTAACGTTATAAATTAGCTGTTTAAACCGACGTTTCACATGACCAAATCAAAGTCAATTCCTGTATTGACATAAGCAATTAGGTGAGTTCGTTTTTAATACTCGCTTTTTTTTTTTTCTTTTTTCTTTGTTTGGTTCCAAACTCACCAGTTAGTGGCCGCCCACGTTGTCAAAACTAAAAATCTTAAAAGGAAAAAAGAAAAAAATCATAAGGGGCATCCTCGTAAATAACACGAAAACCCATGACATTTCTTTAGCCAAAACCTCATATAAGTCCCCTACTGATCCCAACTGTAGTTCCTGTCCTAGTTAAGTTGTCTTCGTCCGTGAAGCGAAGAAAGAGATTCGAGGAGAGAGAAAGGGAGAGAGAGAAGAAGAACACGAAAGACAGACAAAGGAAAGGCTCTATTTTTCAAAGGAAGACCAGCACAGAAATTGTCTCCGCTTTCATTTTTCAAATATTTTTCGAACGACAATGGCGAGATTCTTCTTCTCCTTCTCCTCAGCGACGTCGTTCCTCGTGATCCTCGCCGTGATCCTGGCCGTCAGCTGGCTGCCGGCGAAAGTCCTTGGCGGCGGTGAAGAAATCGGGTTTTTTCCGGTGAAGAAGGGCTGCGACGGCTCCATAGCGGAGTGCTTGGAAGAGGAGTTCGAAATGGACTCGGAGATCAGCCGGCGCATTTTAGCGACGACCAAGTACATCAGCTACGGTGCGCTTCAGAGGAACACTGTGCCCTGCTCTCGCCGCGGCGCTTCCTACTACAATTGCAAGACTGGCGCTCAGGCCAACCCCTACAACCGTGGCTGCTCTGCTATTACCAGGTGCAGGAGTTAAATTTTTAATTTTTTGGGGGGTTTTTTTAATTTTTAATTTTTTTCAAGTTGGGGTTGAAAATGGGTTTGTTTTGTTATACTTTAACAAAGGGTTGGGGAGGGAGAGAGAAGCGATTGGTGATTATGAGTACTCATTGTTGTTACTATTGTTCATGGAAATACTGTCGTTTATAGTTATATTTCTTAATTTCTGCTGTAAAAATTGCTCTTTTTTCCCCCTTATTTCTGTTTGGTTCTATGGGCGGTAAGAGATATATATATATATATATATATATTGTTTCTATACAAGTAAATATGCTTATATCTATATATATATATATTGTTTCTATACAAGTAAATATGCTTACTTATATTTAGAGGCAAGATCTGATTTTTAGTTGTTAAGTTCGTCGGTGATTTACTAGCTTGAAAGAAAAAATAATGGGATCATGTTTTTGTGCATATTCTTTTATATGTATGATCTTATTCATAATACATTGTCTCCTTAAAAATTACCTAAGAGTCGTGATTTGTATTTCTGTGTGTAAGGATTCTAAGATTGCATACTCAAAACAAGTGCATGTACATATGAAATTCAATTAATGTATTTTTTTAAAATAATTTTTGTTGTTAGTTTCAATCGATTATTATTTGACCACTCTTTTTTTCCCTAATTTTCTAGCTCGTTTTTTTTTTTTTTAAATGTTTTTAACTCCATAATTTTGGTTTGTATTGGATATGTTTATCTCTGCAAAACCTTTCTTTCATTAATTGCTAGCTTCCTCTCTGTTTCTGTAAGAATAGGGACATAAACTGGGATAGGAAAAATGTGTAGAAAATATGGGGAAATAATTTCTTGAGTTGTCATGGCAACCAGGCAAATAGTGGAGACCTAACGTGCTTCTTTGTTGGCTTACTACTATAAAATTGTCCTTCTGGATGGTTTTTGGCAACTGTTTTCTCATTATATAAGGGTTTTTTTTTTTCAATCATAGCCTTTTGAAAATTATATGCCAACCGAAGTTAATAGGTATAATAAGTTACAACGTAATTGGATAAGTATTTAGTTTGAAATTTGAATAACGTGAAAAGAATATGCCAACTTAACCAAATAGTTGTTATGTCATAATCACCTATGGGAAAAAGAAAGAGCTTATCTTGGATTAGAACATTTATTATTCCCTCAAACAAAAGAAAAAAGCCATTTATTTGGGGACATTTTTGTATTAGTTAGAGATGTGGTGAAATTGAATAATAATAATAATTGTATGTAACCATGACCTAACATCACCTGGAAGCCAGCCAAAGGCGAAAAACAATGATCCTCTTATTATATGATTCATACTAAAGTCTTTCACGTGAAGTCTATTATTCAAATTTTATTTAAAAAAAAATGAAAAAAAAAAACAGAAATTGCCAAATACCACGATAGGTTTGAATTTTCAGAAGATGATTCTCTTAATACCAATTTGCCATTTTTTTTCCTTGATCTTTTAGAGGTGCACGTCAGTTGTTAATGATTGGACCATTACATCCTGCCATTCGCCAAAATAATGTTGTTGTGGTCCCCTTTACCAAACAAAAAATAAGCACAGAAAATAACCCTATAAAGATTCGTTCAGACCTACTTTATGTTTAGGATTAATTTTAAAAATCCTTCGAATTATGATTTTTGTAACACTTTATTCTCTAAATTTTAAAAAATAACATCAATTTTTTTAAATTTTATTCTGTTAATAAATTTTATCCTTCTATTATAATGAGTGATGAAAATTCTCAGGTGTTAGGTACATGACCCATTTGAGGTATCGTAAAAGTTTAAGATTTTTGTTTTATAATTTTTCTCTCTCTGTATGTTGATGTGAGCGGTAAAGAGAAACATTTGTTCAAGCTTTATCAATCTAGTTATGCTTCCATAAGTTAGAAGAGGTATGTTAACTTACTCTGAATTGCATAGGAGGAGTCCAACAAATAGTGGAGATGATTGTGAGCATTTTGATTTTGAGTATGATGATTATGAGCATTCGGATTCGAGGACGTTTGGTTAGAGGATTCAAACCATGTGATTCGAATTATTTTTGATTTACGTGTATTTTTTATGAGAGAAAATACTGTAGCGAATCAAGAATCATGATTTGAATCAAGAAACGAATCCCTCTACCAAACATCTTCTAAGTATGATGATTCTGAATTTGCACAGTCCGAAGATGAAAATAATATAGGTGATACAGTTGAACAAACACTGCAAGGGCTAGAGAGAAGGAAGGGAAATGGTCCAGTGCTTGGTGATGATGAGCGTGCAGTGGTTGAGGAAAATGAAGCATCAACAGAGGGTGGTAGGGTAAAAAAAAAAAAAAAAAAAAAGGTCCAAAAGAGAATGCTCAATTTACCTGTTTTTGGATCATCAAAGGATGTTGAACTAAAACCAGGTTTACAATTTCCAACTGCAGCCTCATTTAAGTAAGCCATAAAATTTTCTTCCCAGATTCTTCTTCGCGTGTGATGTCTTCACTACCGGATCCAACCCACATCGACATCGAATAGGACCTCAAATTTCTTCGTTTACCCAGTCGTTGCCACCATTGTTTGTATTGCAGGAACTTACCATGGATGAACGAGGTGAGAAAAAAAGAAGCAAAATGGGAATGAAGATGGTGAATTATTTCAATAAAAATGGGAAATTATCTAATTGAGAGGGTATAAGCATAATTGCGCTTTCAATTCTCAATAAATAAGTAACACGTGGTAATTTCGTCACTCATTGTAACAAAAGAATAAAACATGTTAACAGAACAAAGTTTGGGAGGAACGGATATTATTTTTTAAAATTCTGGGGCAAAGTGTTACAAGGATCATAGTTCGGGAGGAATTTTTGAAATTAATTCTTATGTTTATCTTCCTCTTAATTGGTAATAAGTTTAGTTGGTAATAAATGCAAGTTATGATGAGTTTATAAGGGAATGAGCTACTCTATTCACTAGTTTAACTTTTTGAGTTGGAACCCCAATCTCTTATAGTGGAGCCCATGGTTTTAACAATTAGTATCAGAGTTGGGACCTCATATGTTGTCAAGTGTACACATGAGATTAACTTTTGATGGTCGAACGAAGTGAACGCTCTAGGTGGACCTTTCTTCCATGGTAATGCAATGAAAGACACGGTGGAGACCTCGAGGTTATTGTGCATACTATGAAAGGCAAAGATATGCGATGGAGAGCATGAGGCGATAAACATGGTGGAGATCCCAAGGTTACTATGCTTACCATGAAAGGCAGAGATATGCGATGGAGAACATGAGGTGGTGGGATCTGTATGTAATGTAATGGAGATGTGATGGAGAATCTAATGGACAGAATGTGTTATCGTTCAAAGTGGGGCCGCGGTACTTCGTTCAAAGGGGGGATTGTTGGAGGTGCGAACAAAGTTCCGCATCGACAAAAAATGAAAGCTATGATAGGTTTTATAAGGGAATGGGTTACTCTCCCACTAGGTTAACTGTTGAGTTGAAACCCTAATCCCTTATAGCGGAAAAATACCGTAACAAGACTTTATTTGTCTAAAATACAGATTAGGTAACCCGTAACAAGATTTTATTTGTCTAAAATACGGATCAAGAGTATAAGTAAAATGGTCACTGTTTTCGGATCCACCATTTATTTGGGGACTTTTACCGGCCAGCTGAAACTTGATGAAGAGTACTAGCAATACCTCTTGGTAGGTTGAAAAAACTACACTATATTTACTACGGAAGTTCCCCTATTTTCTTAATTTCTTTTATGACTTGGCAGAGGTTATGACATTTTCATGGCTTGTCTTAAATGTGACCAGTTTTAGCAAACTCAGTTTGGTCACTGATTAAGTCTGCAGACAAATAAACCAAATGAAATCAAGTGCTGCAACCACCATACCAATCCCTTATAGTTTGCAAAATCTTGTATGATGTTATGCTAGTTTACTTCAATCGAGCAAGCTTTCCGTTCAGAAGTCGGATAGCGAATCCCTACTTTGCCTCATATTTTAAATGGGCTTTGTTGAAGGATTCACCATCTCTTTTGGTCCAAACACTTTTGGTGAAGATAAGCCCAATAAAGCAAGTCCAGCGAATTATGGAGAACAAATAACAAAGAGAAAAGTACAGCGTCTGACATGTCTATTATTTATTATTTACGTCATTTTAATTAATTAAACGTCATCATAATTTTTTACTTTTTTTATTAATTGAATGATTTTTTTATTATTATTTGAATGATAATTACTTATTTTTAAATAGAATGACATAAATAATATTTTTTTATTATTTTTAATGGTATTTTTTATTTTTTCTTAAGAAGACACGCAACAACTTTCATATTTTTTTGAATTTATACCACAGCTTATTTATTGTTCGGATTTATGGCATGGCATGTTTTATTAATCATTACTCCATTTGTACGGCACAAATGTGAAGCTCTAATATTTAAGCATAAACCCAACGATGATAATTGTTTTTTTTTTTATTATTTTTTTTTTTATAATTTGCCGCATTCCTCAAAATTTCTCAAGGAAGACTAGAGGAATGCGAGTGATATTGGCAAGGACAAAAGTTATTCAACTAATAACTACGTGTCCGTTTGTTTTAGGTTTGAAACCAAATTCAAACAAGAGAAAATACTACTATTAAAAAGATTTGAATTGCGATTCAAACCCACAAGAAAAATGAGCTATATATAATTTGTAGATATCCACATATTGATGATTTTTTTTTTTTTTGCCTTCTTTTTTCCTTTCAGATCTGTGTTTTTCCTCTGATTTGAGCTGTTTTGTTTTATGTTTGAAATAAGTTTGTTCTATTTCTGTTGTTTCATAAACTAATTGCTGCACGAGTTTTTAATAATTTGATTTAATCCATTGTTTTTCGTGGGTTTTCTTTTCGTGAGTTAATCCAGTGGATTATTCGTAATCTAGTAGATTACTACGGAGACACTAACAAATTGACCGAAAAGTAATTGATTATTTGATTTTAACTACTTTTAATTGACTAAAATATGTTATTCCATTATAAAAAGAAAAATGAAAAATGAAAAGTGAAAACAGTATTATTAGTTCATTAGTCTCTTTTGCTCAGCTGACACCAACAAATTGTAGTCAAATATGAGTGTTGATGAGGCGCACTGCCTCTGCCATAGCCAAGAACCACGAGCACTGCAACAAAGCACTCAATTTGCTACTAAGGCTGTCACTGCAGAACTGTTAACCGATTAACA